CTACTAATCTTTTCCGGTTTCTAAGGTACTAAAAAGATACAGAGCATCTCGTAAGTTTCGCCATTCTCTGGGATGGTTAGGATTCCTTGTGAGTGATTGACATTTAACCCTACCACAACTACACCCAGTTGACGTTAAAAAACACCCAGTGACGCAAGGGGCTACCATTCGAATGGCAAAGTCCCAGAAACTTCGTTAAACCAGTAGGTTATATTAGGGCCCCTGACACTAACTGGTTGGGGCTTTCGAATAACACACACTTTTCTTCTTGTTCTTCTGCGTTCGACATCAGTCATGCTAAACATTGAGTCCAGTCTGGGTCACAAATAGGTTTGTGCGTTTAAGGTCGCCACCAGTTTCCCATAGCTTCTCTTGCAATGTGGCTCCCTTGGGCCAGATCCACAGTCTTTGCTGGGAGAGGTTAGGGCCGCACTGTAGTATGTGCTCAGGAGTCTGTCTTTCTGCTCCACAATCACAGGCAGCAGATTCTTTAATGCCTATCCTGTACAGGTGTGCTCGAAGTCCACAGTGTCCAGTCTGAAGTCTAAAAATTGATGTTTGTTCTTTCCTGTTGAGTCTGTTTATGCTGCCACTCTGTGGTCTGTAATCTCTATTCTACCTTCTCCACTCCCGCTTGAAAGACTGCTTTAGCGCTGTTTTGGTTTCCTTGTAGCTGTGTGGTGGATGAGGTAGTGGAAGAAATAATACAAACAAAATCGCGGTATACCCTTCCCCCACCCCATTCCCCCTTTCCTGAAAATATAACAAGACTTATAACAAGGAAATCCTGGGAAAAGACCCCAAATAGATGAAAGTGTCTGAGAGAGACCAAAGATTCTGCACTGGATTTTGTACATGAGTTGATAGGATTGCACAGGATAGAGCAAAATAAGTCTAGACTGAAACAAGACCGTCTCCATCTGACGGTACTTTAACGTATAGTTAGCCCGGTTTGATGACGTCAGCAGCATGACCCGTCAGGTGTAGACGGTCTTGACTGACCCCTATAGCTCTATATAAGCCATATAGCCCTATATGAGCCTAGCAGGATGATAGCGGCGGTCCCATGGCCTATCTGACAGTACTGAGCCTCTCAGTGGCTAAGCTACGGTCGGCATAGTTCCTGGGCTTATTGAAACTTACAAGCCATTTTATTACTTCAAGGTGGATTCACATAGCAGGAATCAGTCGGTCTTGAAAACACAGATAACACCAGGATGTTTGTATACATGGTGACTTGAAAACGTCTTAGTAGACTTGTAATTTTAAACACGCTAAAACCAAACAGTGCTTCTTATCGCTGCTTGACACACATTGTTCTCTTTATGTTTAGGGACTTCTGGCCAGCCCATTTTCAAGGGAAGTAAGTAAAGTAAACAGCTCTTTGACATGATTCATTGCAGTGGCTCTCAACCTTCCTAATGCCGTGACAATTCAATACAGTTCCTTTATATTGTGACGACCCCTAGACAATTATTGTCCTTCATAACTTCAATGAATATGTGTTCTCCGGTGGTCTTAGGAGACCTCTTTGAAAGGGTCGTTCGAACCAAAAAAGGGTGAGAATTCCACAGAGGCCAAAGAAATGGCCCTTGGATCTTCCCCATTTTAGTGTCTTAATTAGCTGTATATGCTAAGGGCTTCATTCCTTGGCCCGTGACAATCCCCATTTTTAATATTTTGGTCCCTGGGAAAACTTGTTTCAACAGACCTGGCACACTGGATATGTAGTGCTTCTAACCATAGTCCCAAAACAACGTTGGGCTAGTGAGTCACTATCGACTGGTCATACCTTTCCATTTCTGATGATCTTACCCGTTGTACTTGACGTTTTTGTTTTCGAGGCCCATCCAGTCTGCCAGATTTTGGATCCACGTCCTTTCTAGTTCGTTTCCTCTTTTCTTGTCCCTAGTCGTGTATTACAATTTTTAAAATGTCGACACCATTGTACTTTCGATCTTTTAACCATTGCTAAAAAGGATTAGTTGTCTTTTGACTGCCCTTTTACGTGCCAAAGAAGAAGAAGAAAAAGAACAGGAGAGGAGAGGGAGGAGGAGAAGAAGAAAAAGAAGAAGAAGAAGAAGAAGAAGAAGAAGAAGAAGAAGAAGAAGAAGAAGAAGAAGAAGAAGAAGAAGATGATGATGATGAAGGGAGAGGAGGGGAAGAAGCCGATGCATTTATAAATCAGTCATTTTAGATACGCAATTAATGCGACCACAATATAGTCAGCATTTACTTCCCAGAAAATGTCATGGTAGAAGTTTGAAGCTGGTTCTGCCTTGATGTCCAATCAACGTGAACGAAAATCCCCATCTGGGTAGGCTCCGTTAAATGAACAACTTCAGAGCTCGAGACAAACGGCTTGACCTCTTCGCTGCGAAGACCTGCAAAAAGACGTTTAAGACATTAAGGCTAAACATTGATTACCTTGGCTCTGAGGTCGACTCAGCCTTTAATGGGTACTTCCTGGGAAGTAAAGGCGGTCTGTGTGGTATTGTCCATATCATTTATTTTTCTTCTTCTTTTGTCCATTTTCTGCTTTGTGCCACTAGGGGTCGCCGGCTTACCAGATGATCTGTTTCTCAGCTATGGCACGTACGGTTGCTCGGTATGATGCGATGTCGTGTAGTCTCGCGGTATCATTGACGCCTTCAGTGCATTTTCATCGTGGTCGTCCCCTACCTCTTGGTGTTCCTACTTTGATGTTGTAGGCTCTCGTTGCTGATATTACTGGATTCATTATCTCTCATTAAACTTCCGAACCATTCCAGTCTTTCTTTTCAATAATTTAAATACAGGCGTTGTTCCAACAGTTCTTGTAATTTCTTCGTTTCTCACATGATCTATTCTACTTTTGGTCATTAATCTTCATTTCGCGGGTGATTAGTTTTCTTTCGTGTTCTTTATTCAGCGTTCAAGTGTGACACTGGTAGCACAAAGCTGGTTTGAGATTGCATTCAAAATTGGTCTTGTGATCTAAACTGGGAGAGCTGGATGTTTGACAACTGGGGTGAATTGATACAAGACATTGTAGGCTTGTTGGTCTATCAAAATAAGTCTACCCTCATATGCATGAGGCGCCAGTGGCGTGTAAAAGGACCTTTACTTTACTTTACCTTTGGTTACTAAACCAACGCAAAACGCGTCCTTTTTCTCATCAAAGGTAGTACAGTATATTGTTTCTGTTCTATCTTGGCAAAGAGTTTTTGTATGAATTCCCATCTGATCGAGATGTTTGTAGATTTGTTTTTGTCTCATAGGGCTGTGAAGGCAATTTTACAATTTCGTCATAACTGGCTTCGAGTCAGCTGCAGGCAGTTTGGCAGCAGACCCCTTTATGTTGATTTCGAAAATGGTGTAAGCTTTGATTGTGCAGTAAGCCATGGCAAACTACTAAACGTAAAATTGCCAAGTAAAACCGCAGACAGCAAGTGCTGGGGTTGGTTACGTGACGTTCTATAAGGGATATGCAACCTATTTTTCTTTTTTAATACTGTCAATTTATGTTCCTCTGCAACTAATCCGTCTACACAATTTCAAGGCCAGACGATATTTCAACCCTTCGCGAGATCGCTCCCCTGCCGGAAATTTCCATATTTATTGGACAAAAGCGGGCTGTCGTTGTCTTGCTTACAGCTTTTGATCAGCGGTTTTCAAGATGTTTGGTACTCGTGGCTACTTCGATAAATACAACACTTTATTGTTACTTTATAAAACATGCTTTAAAATGCCTTTGTTATTTTTTTTTGTTTAATGCACATTAGAAATAGATTGTTATGTTCTTTTTATTTTTAAATATAGCGATGGCTGGTGGTATATTTTCGTGTGGTGTCAGTTACACAATACAAAGCTGATATTTCTGTTTCAACATCCCCCCTCCCCTTTTCATCGCCTGTTTGTGTTCATATGTAGATCATATATAAAGGATCACTGATCACTGGTCCGGGATCGATACACAGAAGAGGCAGGATTGTGTTCAGCCTATCACGGCTCTGGGTGGACCCAGCCTGATAGAAATCGGTACCACAAAATGTTTGGAGTATTGTAGAATTTGTACGAGAAGGAAATGCAGCGAACTAGAACACCGACCACCCAAACTCATGTGTCGTGACCTAGAATATCGGAAGATCCAACACTTCACACCCGACCTACAGTATCTGCTATCATCATCATCATCAACTTCATCATAGTAATAATTATCATCATCATCATCACAACCCCCATCATAATCACCATTATCAGCATCCTCATTCTCCTTCTCCTCCTCATCATCATCGTTACACTGTTGTGTCAGTTGTCAAATAAGGCAGGTAGTTTATTCTTTAATTCTGTTCTAACTAATGTAATCTGTTCCTTGTCATCGATGGAATCAAGTCCAGTACCTGGGGCTTCTCTCGTCAACGTTCGTCCTACGGTTTTGTCCAAAGGCCCATTTGTTTCCACATTGCAGTGCCTGTTATTTTCTGTTCGCCTGCCCTACTTCCAAAGACATTTATTAACTAGTACCCATGTTAGGCTGGGTCGACATCAAAGCTTGTCATTTAAAACAATATATATATATATATATATATATATATATATATATATATATATATATATATATATATATATATAGTCAGAGTAACTAAGAACGATTGCTTGATAGAAACTAAACTATATGCAACAATAAGAAAGAAACAAACACTGTTCTTTGACCACATAATGAGAAGAGAGACATTGGAGAACAACTGAAAAGATCAGTGGAAAAAGGGGTAGAGGCAGACCAAGAGAGATGATGCTGGATGGGCTGAAACGATGACATGGAGGGATATCATCAAGAGAGCTGTTCCAGGCAACCAGGGATCGTGATCTATGGAGACGCATGAGCGCCTACGCCAATTGGCAGGGCACATGATATATATAAATATAGATATATTTATATAGGTGTGTGTGTGTTTGTGTGTGGCAAGAATAATTAATTAAATATGGATCTGTGAACCAGGCGCAGATGCGATGACCAGGAACAGTGACATCATCGGCATGGCCGTGGCAGGATGTGTCAGTTTCGTCCTTTTCTCCGTGGTGATTGCTTACATTATCATCACCTTCCACTGGTAAGTACCATCGTTGTTTCAGGTCGTCTGCTGCTTGTAAGTTCTGGTGTCAAACTTATCACTACACCCACCACACTCAGAGGAAAGGCAAGACGGACATATAACCAGATTGTGTCCGGTACCATCAGTACTGAAACTCTGCGCTGGCTGCTGCAGATGATGACGGAGCATGCATGGGAATGGCCTGAGTGCTGTGATGTCAGTTCTTGACTCAACTCAACTCAGCTCAACTTAACACAGCTCAACTCAAACTTAGCTAGGCTCAACTCAGCTCAACTCAACTCAGCTCAACTCAACTCAACTCAGCTCAACTCAACTCAACTCAGCTCAACTCAACTCAACTCAGCTCAACTCAACTCAGCTCAACTCAACTCAACTCAGCTCAGCTCAACTCAGCTCACCTCAGCTCAACTCAACTCAGCTCAACTCAACTCAACTCAACTCAGCTCAACTCAACTCAACTCAGCTCAGCTCAACTCAACTCAACTCAGCTCAACTTAACACAGCTCAACTCAAACTTAGCTAGGCTCAACTCAGCTCAACTCAACTCAACTCAACTCAACTCAACTCAACTCAACTCAACTCAACTCAACTCAGCTCAACTCAGCTCAATTCAACTCAACTCAACTCAGCTCAACTCAACTCAACTCAACTCAATTCAACTCAACTCAACTCAGCTCAACTCAACTCAGCTGAACTCAATTCAACTCAGCTCGGCTCAACTCAGCTCAGCTGAACTCAATTCAACTAAACTCAGTCTACTCAACTTAACTCAGCTCGGCTCAGCTCAGCTCAACTCAGCTCCATTCAACTCAACTCAGCTCAGCTCAACTTAACTCAGCTCGGCTCGGCTCAACTCAACTCAGCTCAACTCAACTCAACTCAGCTCAGCTCAACTCAACTCAACTCAGCTTATCATCAATCAGCAGATACTTGTGGCTCTCGTCACGGCAGGCATTGAAGTCTCTCTTTCTCTAGCCTATTCTCCAGCCCTATATGCTTTCATAGCCAATACATCTTCAGTGGCCTACATCCACGCTGGCTGAGGTCTGCCCCAGTCACGTTTATTTTCTGCAAAACTTACTCCACTACCGTTCTCGTCGGCTCTGTGGCTAAGTCGATGCGAACGCTTCGCTTCGTAATGCCGGGATGCCGGGTTCGATCCCAGTTGCGGACAATGCGCCTTGCGTTGGTTTCCACAGTGGTATCAAGAAAGCCGACCGTCCAGAAGCAATGGCAAACTACTGGACGTAAATTTGCCAAGAGAAACCACACAACAGCCAGGGGCTGTTAGGGTTGGTTGTGCAACGTCCTGTAAAGGATACGCAACTAACTACCGTTCTTTCCAGGCATCATGTCGTTTAACACAGCCTAAAAACCCTGAACTTTCGTCACAGGATGCTGTTTATGGGCCAATTCTCCTCGATGCTTATATCATATAGGATGTCACTGTTTTGTTTTCTCTTTCTTTTTCTTGGTCAATGGTATTCTAACAATTTGTGTTGTAGCATTTCAGTTTCTTATTGATTGTGAAAGAGTCCTTGACTCACATTGATAAGAGTAAAACTAGTGTAAATAGATTTCTTCTTCTTCTTCTTCTTCTTCTTCTTCTTCTTCTTCTTCTTCTTCTTCTTCTTCTTCTTCTTCTTCTTCGTTTTCTTCTTCTTCTTCTTCTTCTTCTTCTTCTTCTTCTTCTTCTTCTTCTTCTTCTTCTTCTTCTTCTTCTTCTTCTTCTTCTTCTTCTTCTTCTTCTTCTTCTTCTTCTTCTTCTTCTTCTTCTTCTTCTTCTTCTTCTTCTTCTTCTTCTTCTTCTTTTTCTTCTTCTTCTTCTTCTTTTTGTTTTTCTTCTTCTTCTTCTTCTTCTTCTTCTTCTTTTCTTCTTCTTCTTCTCTTCTTCTTCTTCTTCTTCTTCTTCTTCTTCTTCTTCTTCTTCTTCTTCTTCTTCTTCTTCTTATTCTTCTTCTTCTTCTTCTTCTTCTTCTTCTTCTTCTTCTTCTTCTTCTTCTTCTTTTTCTTCTTCTTCTTCTTCTTCTTCTTCTTCTTTCTTCACTGGCTTTACATACTGGCAGAAAGTTCTGGTTGTTCATCCACTTCTTGACTCTAGTCCTGTTCCAGAAACTGAGTGTTGCATGCACATCCGTTTCACAGGTCTGACTCATTTGCATGCACACTGTTGGTTCTCTGCCTCTCAGGCAGATGTACTCCGACTTAGAAGGAAGATCCCATTTTGTCGACTCTTACGACATGCTTTTAGGCAGGCAGTGGGAACCAAAACAGAATGTATAAATAAATATAGGTCACTAAGACAACGGAAAGCAGATCTAGAGGTGGCCCACGCAAGCAATGGATAGATGGAATATCTGAGGCTGTCAGTACTAATATCTACGAGGCACACAGCAAAGCTCGCACCAGATGCCTCTTCAAAACCTGACTCTAAAGCATTGGCTCTCAACCTTCCTAACGCCGCGACCCTTTAGTTCAGTCCCCTCTTGTTGTGGCGACCCCCAAACAATTATTTTCCTTCATAACTTCGATGAATATGTGTTTTCCGATGGTCTTAGGCGACCCCTGTGAAAGGGTCGTTCGACCCCAAAAAGGGGTTGCTACCTGCAGGTTGAGAACCGCTGCTTTAAAGGTATAACATGATTAAAAAAGAATAGGGGGGGGGGTGGGGAGGGATGCAACAGCTTAAACTGCTGGACATATAACAACATAAGCGGCATCACACTTACGGATTTACCTAAATTTTAACCACACTTACTGCACCAGTAATTAGTATTAATTAGTTAGGAAGGGTATACTATTTTCTATTTTTCTGTAAGTTTATAATTCATATACTATTGTTGTTGTTGCTGCTGTTTAATATACATATTTAAAATAATATAAAATGTATAAACGAAAGACGGATTAATGAATGGTCAAACATTCCCATACGTACTGTGCACTCTACCCGGTAGCCACCTAATCCCTGATGGTGTCAGCTCCAACCTTATTGAGAAGTTACCGGGTTGTCTTTCTTAGTTACTCCGGAGCTGGATACTTTGTTCTGTTACACTTGATTCCAGGCAGCTTTCACCAGGTTTTTCATAATTAAAGTAGCTCGCTGCCAGGGAGAGTAGTAGGCCAACAGCAGCTTATATTAGCCTATAAAGGGATGTGTGAATGAGATGAATTAAAGTAGCAGGCTGGGAAGACCCTGTGCAGAGGAGGCGTAGCAAGGATCCAAAGGAGGGGAAGAAGTGGGTGGGGGGTGTGGACCGCCCCGAGTGTCATCACTGGAGACGGCGCAAAATGGAAAGTGTGTTTTAAACATAAAAACATTTATGTGAGTGTGTTTATTGTGTGCATGTGTGTGTGTGTGTGCGCGTATGTGTGTGTGTGTCTGTGTGTGTAGGAGGTGCCGGTAAATTATCCGCACCGGTTACCACCTGAATTGTAATGCCCCTGGCGGTGAAAGAAAATCGTCCCGCACAGGGTATCAGCTGAATTTGCTATGCCACTGACCATGTGTGCCTACTTTTTTCTTGGACCTTTTAAAAATAAAGCAAGTTTGATGGTCTATTTTGTTTATTACACACAGGAAGAATTGGTTTAACGGTTGGATGCGGTTGAGGGGTAAGGTTCGAATGCCGAGGGCTTACATTCACAAGAAGGAGGAGGCCAAAAGAAGACTGATCACCACCACGCCAGTATCTAAGAGCATTGTAGGACTGCCCGGTCCCAGTCTCTACGAGACAGGTAATTATATTTACTAAACAAGGTCACCGAGAATGATTGCTGACATTTTAAAATGTTATTATAAAAGAAATGTTTAATTAATTTAATCAAATGACGTCTTAAAATGTTAGGAAATGTTATATCTCTTAGAGCTACTTGAGTACAAGAGTGGGCACAGAGTGGGTCGCCAAAGGTCCCAACCTTGTGTGTGTGAGTGTGTATTTAGCTATGTGTGTGTGTGTGTGAGTGTTGAGAGTTAGATTGTCTAGACAAGTGTGTGTGAGGTATTGTGTGAGAGTTCCATTGCCTTGTGTGTGTGAGTGTGTATTTGTCTGTGTGTGTAAGTGTGTGTGTGTGTGTGTATGTGCTATGCCCCACCTTTTTACACTTCCTGTAACCCCTATAAAACTTGAACTCTGGACGAGACCATTTTCGAACTGCCCCACTTAGCAAATTGCCCCTTCCCGCCTTTTCCCCGTGGGGTGTGCGCCCCTGGTCTATACTAGAATCAATCTGCTGTCATGTCTTCTGCGCCGTGACCATAGTTACAGCTGCAATTGTTGCAGCGACCCTCTCTTCAATCTATGGGTGTTCCCCATCTTCTCAGCCCCGTTCTAAGGTTCACGGTCATCGGAAACTTTAAACTGTTCTGGACATTCAACTCATAACAGTCAGGATGCCTCAGACATGGACGTGAAAGTAAAGCAGCCGTTTCCACTTCCTTAGGCGTAATGGATATGTAGGACTAGGTCTGTATTTTATAGGCTGTCGACACTCGTTGGGTGATGTGGTCGCCATCATGCTGGGCGCCTTTACTTCCTAATAATTTGCTTAGTACCCGTTTTAAACGGTGTCGACCTTGTAGCCAAGGTTAATTTTACAGAAAAATATTCGATTAGAAGCGTCAGTGATTTGAACCCACACACTTTGGACCCGATGCAAGCGTCTAGCATGTATGCCACGGTGGGCCCCTATGGAAATACAAGATTCAGGATAAATGATCAAGTTCCTATAACAGTTTAAACCTACTGTCACGAGTGTGGCCGTCTAAAACATATTTGATGAAAGATGCTGGTTATTTTCTTCCTTTGCTGGCATCTTTCGGTCTTTCCATAAGATATTGTTATCTTATGCTATGTTGTTCATCCATCCCGAGTGATGTAGATCACTTTCGTCCAAAGCAGCTGGAAGAAAGTGACTTGCGCAAGGACTTAGATTTAAGTGAGAGAGAGTTGCACAGTTCGTCGACTTCATTCTCTCGCCTGTGTCCATCTTGATCCAGTGACAGGACAATGTCGACACGACTGTAAACGGACCTAGGTGCAGTGGATGATCAAGACGCTTCAAGTGACCTGCCTTGCTCAAAGCTTTACACAGAGCCTGCTAGTAAACGACTTTTTGCCCGTTGAACCAGTAGTTTCATCCGCACAATCCGCCGAGTTCAGTCTTTGCAGGGTAGGCATATCCCAATTACGGAGTGGTCTAGAACCAGGTCGGCTACCCTCTCCTGGTTTAGCCAGCCCGTCAAAGCTGTTGCCCGGTAAGTGGCCGCTGTCGCATGTTGACAGTTGCAGGGAGCCACAGGAGAAAGCTGAGTGCCACACCTAACACCAATAGTGGTAAACTGCCATAAGAAGGACATGACGATCAACTTGCCAGAGGTACTACGAGTATCAGACACCCCAGACCCCTTTTGTTTGTTATATGCTAGAAGAAGACATAGGACTCACAGTCCATAGCGTTATCAAGATCGTCCACAGTTCTTCTTCTTGTCCATGCCGTGTGGCGTTGGTAGTCATGTCCATCCACAACCTTCTATCTCGTGTACTTTCAATCAACTCTGACAGAGATGACCTTTCATGCCATGATGTCAAACCTTCCAGCATCTCTTCTGTAGGTCTCCCTCTGCCTCTCTCCCCCTTCAACTTTTCCTATCGTCACGGTGTACTCCAGTTTTTTTTTCCTACTCATCACGTGACCAAAGAATATAGATTGTCTCTTCGTCCACAATTAGAGCACGTAATTTCAAGACGATATTTACCATGGCATGTATTTAATGTGTTTATTCTCAGCTCTTAGCTTATCTGTAGAAATGTTTTTCTTTATCGATATTTTCTTAATGACTTTCCTTCTCCATGCAACACTGACCAAGAAATCCTATTCACATGCACCCACCTCAAAATCGCTACCATTCCCGTTTGCACAATGATAGTAATGATGAAAATGAGTACAAGTATCGCTGGGATTTTTTTGTTACTGGTAAAATAGACAAGATGTTACTCCAGGTATCATCCCCGTGTGGGTTCCGGGCATGTAGGGAAAACAAGAACAGACCCACTGCCTCCCCAAAGAAGCCTGTCGTAAGAATCGACTAACTGAGAGCTTCCTTTGATGTCAAAGTGCATCTGCCTGAGAGGCAAGGAACCAGCAATCTGCATACAAATAAGTCAGATCTGTAAAACAGATGCACACGTAAAACTCAGATCCTGGAACAAAGCCAAAGTCCAAAAAATGGATGAACAACCAGGTCTTTCTACCAGAGTTTATGGCGGTGAACTAAAACAACATCAAACATTCCAGGTATATCCATAGATGTCTCGTCTCCTATTGCAGATTACTTAAAGTTGTAGAGGCTAATCGTACCATTAGCACATCAGTCGTAAACAAGGTGACTCTCCATTTCCTAGGTTCCTTCTTGTTTGATCAACACTTTACTCCAAATTCACTCAACCTTACACATTGGGTTTTATCTAACACTGTATCTTCTATCCGAATTCGTTCTTTTGTGACAGTACTTTCCATTTTCACCTTGACAATCCGGGGGAGGGAGGGATTGTGGGTTAGGTGGTGGTTTGGTGAGGGGGGGGACGGGGGGTGGGGGGGCCGACCTGTGGGTACTCCAGAAAAAAAAAAACCACTAGCTGACCCGATTTGTAACAATCTAGAAGTAAGCCCGAGAACAGAACATATACGTATGGATATATCTGTAAATCTTATTAGATGTTTTATATATTGTTGCTACCTGAAACATAGTAGTGATAATTTTCACTGTATCACGTTTTTGTCATTGCTTTGTTCGCTTCATTTCTTGACGGGGTTTTACTACCATTGTTAAGCGAATAATTAACCCCTTTACTCTGATGACTTTTACACATGACTTGCGTAGATGCGTAGATGCGTACATCCGTACTCACACACACACACACATACACACACACGCACGCGAGAGAGCACGCACGCACGCACACACACACACACAAACGAAAAAAAAAAGGGGGGGGGTAAACTCACGTGTTTGGAGTGTCCTGTTTTCCGATCAAAATTTTAGTAGCATATCTTTTCAGCTTAGAATATTTTGGTTATCCTACATTGTTAATTTATAGTGTTCAAAATGTTTAGCTCATTCATTAGGAATTTCCCTAACGCTGCCATCTTTTGTAGGCAAAATACACCCGCTTATCACTGCGGACACCTGCATGCCCCGGACACTGTCTATGTCAAACCCGCACATGCTTCTACTTAGTACCCACTCATTAGAGACAAACTACAAAGTGTCCCAGACATAGACTGAATCATAGTGGATTTATCTGAAGCGTCAAGACTGCCACAAGATGGTGCACCACATACACACACACACACAGAGCGAGAGAGAGAGAGAGAGAGAGAGAGAGAGAGAGAGAGAGAGCCCTGACACTTAGACACAATGGAAGCAGCGCTAGAAGTCGACCCCGCACACACACACACACACACACACACACACACACACACACACACACGTTTTCCTTTACCTAAAAAATTGTACAGATCCTCTTCTTCAACCTCAGCACCATGAAGCGTCGATTTCCTAGCCGATCATGCTTCTCAATATGTTGTTTCTCTGTGTGGGTTCAGTAGCCCTATTATAGGAAAAACTAGAACAGACCCACTGCCTACCCAAAAAGCATGAGTCGACGAATTGGGAGCTTCTTTCGAAGTCGGAGTGCATCTGCCTGAGAGGCAAGGAACCAGCAGTCTGCATACAATTGTCAGACCTGTAAAATGGATGCGCATGCAACACTCAGGTTCTGGAACAAGGCTGCAGTCCGAAAGTGGATGAACAACCAGAACTTTCCACCAGAGTTTATAGCTGGTGAACACGAAGAAGAAGAATATGATATGTTGTTATCTCCACCACCGTGAGTTTGCAACATTTTAGTAGTGTCAACAATATTTCTATATTCAACAATTATTGAAACATAATAATTGGATTTTAAGACACAAATACACTCCTGATGAATTATTAATAAATTATTAATGGATTGTTAATGAAATGTTATTAAAACAATTGTTAGTGAAATCACATGTAGTACTTCAGTTCACTTAGCGTTTCTGTGTGTGTGTGTGTGTGTGTGTGTGTGTGTGTGTGTGTGTGTGTGTGTGTGTGAAAAAGTTCCACCTGCAATGTAGAAAAACTATGTTGCAATTCATTTACAGGATGTCCCAGATTAGGCGCAACACTTGTTGACCGGTTGTTCGTGGTTTTAATATGCAATGTTACGTTAAGTAATTTGGGTTCTTTAATTTTATACGACCACATCTCGTCGGCCTCGAGATTTCCTAGGGAGTTCCTAGAAATCCCTAGGGGTTTCCAGGAACAGTACTATATTATGGGGAAGGGGGGATGCAGTGGGGGTGGGGGGGGTGGGTGGGGGGTGGGGTTAGTGTTAGTGCTAATGTTAAATAAATAGCGACTACTACTAAGCCTAACCCTAACCTTCTGTACTGGGGGGTCGTATAAAATTAAAGAACCGTAATCTGTCATTGCTTTTCTAACGGTCGACTCTCGTACCGCTGTCAAAGTCCCACAAAGCGGTCTTTTACCAAATCGTGCAACTGAATCCAGTCTGGGATTTTCGAATTATAAAACTGAATTGATAACGTCGAGGTTACAGACGCTGACTGTCGTACTGAATGTAATTATACTTATTGTATGTGTTTCAGTGTGTGT